CGGTAAGAAACCGGATCCTTTGAACCGCACGAAACAACAAGAAGCGAGCACCGAGCGAAGCTCGGTGCGCCGTCTTGGGGAGAGGGAGCACGTATCGTAGCACCGTGTCAATGTATATCTTCCCACGCTTCTCCTCCCCGGAGCCTCACTGCGAGAGCGGCCGGGGCATACCTGCATCAAAACCCACCCTCCCCATTCCCGTTCTTTCGTGAGTCCTTTCTTAGCAAACTTCAGGCGAGCCTCCGGGCCCGCCTTTGGTTTGCGCCCAGAGGGGCGGCCCCTTGGGTGCCGCTTCCTTTCACCCACAAAAGAGGAAAGGCCCACGGTAAGAAACCGGATCCTTTAAACCGCACGAAACAACAAGACGTGTGCAATACATGAGTACGGTATAGTTCTCTACATGACCCTGTGATGCCTAGCGAAGGTAAGTGTCGGCACGCAACACGGAGGACGGAGGTTCGACGGGTTCTAATAAGTGCGAGAGCTCGTTAGCGCTCCGCTCTACTGTAAATGTGGAAAGAACCAATGGATTGATGTACCTAATAAGTGGGGGAGCTCGTTACTGTAATTACGAGGGGGTAAGCATACGAAGCAATATCGGAATGGCGAGGAACTCACGCGTTTCGCTCTACCGTGAATGGGGATAGAATGAAGCGCTACAAATACCAGAAATGTACAGTATGTCGGGCGCGTACAAACAGGTAAATACAACGGAAGAAGGAATGTAGGTAGGTAGATAGGTATATTTCCGGCGCGGTCCCAATAGCGGAACAACCGAATGAACTGTACAACGAGCGTCAGTCAGTGGAACTCGAACCTTGGGCTCCGCTCAAGCTTGCACTCTGGCACTGCCTGTGTCGGAAGTCCTCAACACATGTTCTTGAATGTGCGCTGAACCTTCAAGAACCTCAGAATGTTATAATCGGTCCAAGAACCTCTATTTGCTAGCAACGCATTCTAAATGAGAAGTACAAGGACATGGCCGCTGATAGCTAAGTCTGCGGACGATAATCTTCCGGGGCTCAGCAATGAAGGCAGACGGCAAGCTTGCTCCAGTAGGGGATAGATTGCTTTCAAGGCGGTCACGGCGAGCGCGAGTGCAACGGGCAGGGCGATGAAGGTGGGCGTGGATCCCAAGCCAGCAAACCACGAATCACTTTTTGGGACGCGGCGACGGCGGGCGCGGTGAGTCGGCGGCGAAGGCGGGGCATGCTCAATCCAGCAAAGGATGGACTACCTTTGAGGATGTCAGAGCAAGCGCAACAGATTGGGCGGTGAAAAGGGGCGGCACACCTGATCCAGCAAAGGACGTATTCCTTTGACGACTGTTAGGGCAAGCGCGACAGGCTCCGCAGGGGAGGCGGGCAGCGCGTTTGGTCCAGCGACAGCCATATCAAATTCGGGGCGATGACGGCAGGCACAATGGGTCCGACGAAGGCAGGCAGCATGCTTGATGCGGCAAAGGGGACGGATCGGCTTTGAGAATATTCAGGGCGAGCGCGACGGGCTGGGCGGTAAAATTGGGGGCGGCGTGCCCAATTCAGCGACGGACAGATCCGGGCTGGGCGGTAAAAGTGGGGGCGGCGTGCCCAATGCAGCGACGGACAGATCACGTTCTAGGCCATGTCTGTGAGCATAATGGACCCATTGAAGGCAGGTGACGTTTTCATTTCCGCGTGGAATGAATCTCCTGATAGGTATGCCAAAGAGACAACATTCTCAGCTGGAGTATCAGCGACAGACGAAAGCGGAGTATGTGGTAGATTGAAGTCAGCGCTTTTTGTGATGTTTGCAAGTTCTCTAACCGCTTGTGTTGATTGCTATCCTGTGAGCAAAATGAAATCACAATCAATACGATGCCATGCAGATGAATACAGAGAGATTTGGTGAGTACCATGCAGCCATTCTCAGTGACGATAGCATGGGGAGATGCCCGAGCACCAAACAAGATCTGCATCATATCGTAACGTAAGTCGATGTCGCCGTCAGCATTTAACTTGCCTCTGAATCCACGCGATGGGTAGCGCTGGCCACGGTAGCTCCGGAAGAATCAAGGCATTCGATCGAGCGACCTGCAGAACTCCGCAAGCAATGAGCAAAAGCGTAGCTATCATGCCAGTTAAGGACACTCGTGTTCTCAAGATTATCCGGGAATTCTGCCGGGTTTCTCCATTAAGGCACTTTAGACAGTGAGTGTTAGCCGAAGTAGTACAGAAGATATCAACTCTCCCTACAGGGTAGTATAAGTCAACATGGGATGTACCCAGAGTCAAGGGTACGTACCCGGAGTACGTCGGGTACATACCCAAAGGCAACGAGGCAACGCGGGGCCACAAGAAGCAGATAACGCAGTGACACGTGCCCGCTGTCCTTACAAGGTATATAATATCACCATGAGTCTTCCGCCGACCATGTTCAGCGACTCACATTTGCCTTCCCCCCATTATGCCTCTACTCTGCTCTCGGCCCAATGTCACTAGCTGGAATGGCGTGGCTCCTCGCATCAACGCTGCCCGTTTCGCTCGCTACGTCGGCTGCAGTGTTCGGGTTCCCGGTCGTATTCATGAGGTGCGTGCGTAGAATTTTGCTTCGCCCATTCGATCTCTGATCTGTCCAATACAGCATCGCGGGTCGTCGATCCTGCTGGAAACAGTCGATGGTGTCATTGTGGAAGTCCGCATCCCATCGGTGAGTCTCACCGCATTTCATACATCCTTACTCATCTTGTTGCCAGGACATCGACATCAGTGACGAGTTGATGGTCGAAATAACAGGACTGATTATTGATGAATGCACTGTTGAGTGTTGGTGGTTCGTTAGCTTCGGCTGTTCTCTAAGTCAGTATCGCGTGTCTGCATTTTATTCACATATCACTGACGAGCCGCGCTTCAGATTTTTTGGCCCTGAGCTACGCTATCGACATGCTTCATGACATCGTGTTCGTCGGGCCTCCCTGTGGCATCAAGTTTGACGCTCCCGGTACTACGTGGATTATCCGGTCTCCACTCGAGGGATTGGCCAAGCGTGGGTGGGCAATCAATGGCCGATCATTGTTGCAGGCCGACGACTTTGACAACGATGTGAAGCGTCCCGGCGCGCCAGAGCCATTCAAGTTCGGCACGTCGGAGCCGTTCAGGTTCAGCGCGACGGAGCCGTTCACGTTCAGCATTCATCATCGTCGCGTCCAGAAGCTCATCGATGATGAGGAGGAAGTTTCATGAGACTCCGGTACCTATGCTTATGGTTATCCGGTGTTGTGCTCGTTTATCGTTGTAGCTGTCCTGGTCCTCTTGCAATCAGCCATGACACTGGCGATCATCATTTTGTCCACGTATTCATCACCGCTTGTGCCCCGTACCATGGGGAAAAATAGACTCAGTGTTTATGTTGTTCACCGTGCTGAGAATGTATTTATATAAATTGCCATACATGTCATGCATCTGCCCTTACCGCCCTTGCAGCGAAGTTTGCCATATCTGATGAGAATGCATTGACGTTGCTTGAGGTCACACAAGAGTGAATATGATTTTGACGTCATATTCATAGTCCATCGTAACTATTGCTACATGTTGTATGATCGGGTGTGTTGGGTATCAGCGCTTCAGCATACAATGTACTTTCTGGATCTGTCCACACTGCGTGTCCCTTCACCCATGTTTTGTCGGCTTTCACCAGGATACGACCAGAACTCGCCAACACCATGCCGTTCCGTATACCTCGTCGCCATCTGCATTCATCTCAACGACAACCGGAACAACAATCAACGGCGTCAGCGCCCCTCGTCCCGGGACCCTTGCTCTCAGCACGTGGGCACTTACCCCCTCTGAAAGTCGGCCAGCCTAAACCCATTATCCTGCTCCCGGGCGGTCAAACTCTTGCACAGCATCCAGATGGCAGAAATATAGTGACACTAGCGGCGGCAAATTGTCCTGAAGAAGAAGAAGAGACCGCGGGTCCCATGGATGAGCAGCTGGCCTCAACACCTTCAAGTCGGTCCTTCGCATCCCCATCATCTCACCGCCGTTCCTCGCCTCTACGATATTCTGGATTACCTGATCCTGATTCAAAGAAGGCCTTGCATAAGCTTAGTATTGCACGGAAGAAGTCAAACCAGTGGGAGTGTTGGCGCTCCGTTACCATTCCAGCACTGATCACCCCCTATATGGACTACTTGGCGCGTACCCTAGACAAGGAATCGAATCAGAGTGGGGAGCATAATTGCACATGTGGTGGTGTGGATACAAAAACTTCGCAAGTTTTACTCGTGTACATTGATCGTGAGTGCCGTTTATTGAACATTCTGTCAGTATCTAATCTTGATCAGGTCTTGAGAGTATGGATGTCCATGCATGCAGCTGCACATCAGCTGCATGTTATCTAGTCTCTCGTGGTTTCTTCCCCTGCGCCCCTGTAGCCCCATCCGTTGCGTTCGACATGAATATGATGGAACTCGTATCAACGTTGTTCTTGAGAGTCGCGCCTAGTATAACGGCGTGGGCATCAACTCTAGAGACATTTCTAGGTGCCAGACATTTCAAACTTCGCACTCGGGTATGTGCAATCAGCCAACGCAAGCATGATATCTAAATCTTATGTTTTGCTATAGCATTCCGTACGGCGCTGCCTGGGGAATGCTCTGAACTGGTACACTCACCTCGTGAATTGCGTACAAGCGAAAGTCACTAGCACTATCAACGAGGCACGATTAGCCAATGCAGGGGCGCCTATGTTTACCGAGTCGCAGAGCCAGCCTGCACCGAGCGCTCGCAACTGCGAGGCGCCATCACAAACACCAAAACCATCGGCTCAACCCGAGTGTCATCCATCGACTCTTCCTCCCGGCTTGCTTGCAGAAGGAGAGAGGCCGAGCACATACTTGCGATCGCGCTGTCCTCTATGCTTCAGTGCTTCAAAGGACGATGCATGCGCAGCGTAAGCTTTCCTTGCTCATATCATCAGCAATTCGTAATTGCCCCCACTAGATTCGATGCCATTGTATGCGTCGACGCTTGTTTCAGTCAAAAAAGGCGCGCAGGTCCGCGGGATCCTCAGAGAAGTCATCCAGACTCCGTTTTCGTTCCTGAGGCTGACGTCCAAGCCATGGAAAAGCTCGTCTCGATTATCCGCGGCAGTTCCGAGGCAGCACGGAAGAGTGGTACGACCAGGGAGCCTGGCGGTTCCGGGAACACCAGCAAGAAGGGAAAGAAGAGAGCCGCTCCTGACGCCCATCCCAATGCGGAACCGGACAAATGCGAGGGCCCTCTCCAAGTCCCAAATTCTGTCCTGGATGGCTGTGAGTCCTCGTTCAAAGCCGCAGACAAACGACGAGAAAAAGCAAGTACGACCTTCTTCAGCGACACTGGACTCATGGCTATGATCTGTCGACATGATTGTGTACTGTGGTTGGTCAACATGACTAGCGCCAGTGAACGCCAGCACTATGTGCTAACGTTGATTCAGAGACTCTTCCAACATATCCCAACATCATGGCGAATCGGCTTACTGTACGACATCGGCTGCCAAATCCACCGGAGCATCTACAAATGGGGCTTTCTACTCAATATCCGCGATCGCATTACGTTTGCTATATCGGTCTTCCACGCTTATGGACATCAGTGGCCATGTCAGACTTGTTACCATCCACGAAAATGCAAGGGCTTTGGTCTATGCGACGGCGAAGGGTGCGAAAGGTGCTGGAGCGCCCTCAGTCACCTAGTCGCGAACTTGCGATCTTGCGGAGTGAGCCCTCTTCGTGTCATGCAGTGGAACCGATCGCTCACACACGTATCTAGTACTTTCAGCGGCTATATATCCTGGACTGTCAGGTGCATCATCTGGAAAGGAAGCATCTCCATAATCTCGGGACGTGGTTGATGAAAAAGTACGAAAGCTGCTTGCTTCGACTTTCCAAGGCCCAGAAGGAACTGCTGGATTCTGGTGTCCACAGGGATAAGCTCCTCGCAGAATGGACTAGTCAGTGTCTTGCACAGACTAAGCCGATGCCGAGTATGTGTTATGACTGCTCTTGGATGTTCGTCTAACCTTTTGGCACAGGGCAATCGAAGAATGCCGGTGCGAAGTATGTAGAGGCAATACTCACCCTGGAAGACCGTATCCGCTCCCTTGACACGGCCATCGCTAAAGCTCACACGAACATCGACGCTCACGATCTCACTCAGGCGCTAGAATCTCAGATGATTCTCGAGGATGAAAAACTGAATGCGCAGAAGAAGCTCGTGAAATACGAATCATTCTTGGATGGATCGTCGCGCAACAACCTTCAAGCCTTGCGGAAAGATCAATTTCTTGGTCGCAAGGCGAACGCGCTCGCACTTAAAACGCGGATTCGAGATAAACTGAGGCAACGCAAGTTCGAAATTTCCCTGCTGCAAGGGATGCGCATAGGAAATTCGTCTGGTGAGCCCGCATGATCAGTAGCGACGAACGATGGTCTCACACGTTTTTGAGGGCGTAAATTACATGAGCATACGACGTCGGCCATCGGAAAGCGTGAACCTGCCATTCAGGCCGTCGTCAAGAAATACAATGCCCTATGCAGCGAGATGGACAAATTAATCAAGAAAGGCCAAGCCCCCCCCGGCGCGGCTTCTCCCACTGCAATCAATTTAGCTACGTTTTGGTCCTTAGACGTTGACGACCCTATTTGGCAGGATGCTGGGCTATTGGATGACGATGATGGCTCGTCTTCTACCGCTTGGCTTACAGACGAGAAGGTTCGAAAGGGAATACGCGCGATGCTTGAAGTGGACCGCTGTCACGAAGAGTTAACGCGCATCCGCAAAGAGCGTGGAACAATGCAAAGTTGGCTTCGAGAGGAATGGGCCACCGTCGAGAAAGTTCAGAGTGCCATCAGTGAGTGTACCCTCGTTGATATACGTGCCTATCTGAGCTTATCGGGTAGACTTGGGTCCGGGTATGAGGTATCAGCTGCAAGTCCACCGCGAGAGACTTCTGCAGCTCGCGGTTGTCTGGCGCCGTCGAGCCGGCGATATCCCGTCGCACAAACCGCAACCTGAATCTTGGGGCCCATCAGATGATGAGATGATTGCCGGTATACAAATCGAGTATACGGAAGCTCTCGCAGGGCAATCTCCCCCGCCGACTGGACCCGGAACCTTCTCGGATGACTTGGACGACTCGAACACGGAAGATCCCGATGACTACACGGATGTGAATGGCGAGGCTGTATATCTTGAAGAAGACAGTTCCGATAGCGATGATTCTGAAGATCTCGAATGCTTCTTGTCTGAGGTGGACTTATCACCCTCAAAATTACGCGCCACTGGTGAGCATGATTACCCACTTTTGACGATAGCTTCCCAACCCTGTATCTGCTTCAGATCAGGCGCTCCTGAAAACGTATTCACCTGGGTCTATTACACCAACGTCTCAGCGGCCCAGGCTAGCTTCCGAGGCTTCAGGTTTTCCCTACGCGGGCGGCTATCCAGAGCCAATACCTGCCCTACGGCTATTCCCCTTAGCGGAATCCTCACAGAACGGTGGCGCAAACGATCCAGCGAGCATAACAGTAACTCCCAAGCGTCCCCGCCACACATAGATCCGCGGTAGGTATCAAGCAAGCTGCATGTTTCTAGAGTAAAATATGGAATAAACTTGTCGCGCAATCCAACCACAGGATGCTTATCCCGTTTGACGTAATGGACAATGTTTGCTTATCCCAAGTCCACAAAACGGACAAGATGGTACGTTGCAAACCACAGCGCAGCCGAAGGACACATGCTATACACCACTTTGATACAATTAGGGACGTACCCCTCCGTGACCGATGATCTGTAGGACGTTAGGGTACGCCCCCACATGCGCCGGACTCTTCCTGGTATACGTGCGGCTGATAAAACGGCAAAGGGTTGACCAAAAGACTTCGGAACGGGACGGTGATCTATCCCAAACCGACGGTATGCAATACACGACTTACATGCACCAATAAGATAGAAAACGATTGTGTCAGTATTGCATTACATAGATTGGTTAATACAAGTATTGAGTCATCATTGACCTCGTCGTGTTGGATACGAGATAGCAATTCGTTCTGTTATACGTCTTATTGCATACTCAGCCCAGTACATGGCACGACCTCACCTTAGCACATGCAATGCGCCGGACTCTTCCTGGTATACGTGGGGACGTGTCACGGCGCA